ATATATATATATATATATATATATATATATATATATATATATATATATATATATATATATATATATATATATATATAATAAATAAGTCAATGGTTCACTTGATTATTCTTAAGGTTTGATTAATTTTTTTTACCACAGCTCCCACTTGTTGTGCAACTTTCAGTGAATGATGAATGAATGGTCCTTAATTTTTCTAAATCAAATTGTTGCAAGGTAATGTTGCTAATTTGATAGTCATGATGTGGATTATTATGTCCCACATGCAAGGTCTTGCATTTTTCGATATTTGAAAACATTTGCCAGTTTTCCAACCATTTGTGAATTTCATGCAGCTCTCTCTCTTTGTAAGGCCTCAATCTCATTTTCACTTCCCATTTTGCCATAAATTTTAGTGTAATATGCAAATATGATGATGCAGTTTGAAATATTTTCATCTGTCATTGATGAATATGAAAAAAGGGTTGGCCCCAAAATGGACCCTTGCGATACCCCTCACCAAACCATCCTCCTGTTTTGGTAGTACTTATAATAACGATGAGGACCATAGTATATATACTGATGTACAACGAAATTAAAATGTAGAAATCAGCACTATTGAGTTGGACAAACTGGAAAACTATTTCCTACTTATGTTGCAATGACAAACTAAACTAACCTAACCTTCCTAGGACTAATACATGATATCTGAGGCCTAATATAGTACATGTATGTGCTATACTAGGCCTAGGAATATTTAAGTTTGTTTTTAGCTTCGTTTTTCCGACTATAAAGTGAATAGTAAAAAAGTTCTACTATCTAATTTCTTAGAATGGCAATCTTTCTACTATGGTGCACATAGTTACAAAAACTACTGTCTAAACAGGAGAATGGGTTGCACTCACCACATTTCACCAGTCAGCTTTATTTCTGTTAAGGGCGACCCTTTGTTTTCCTTATTTTTAACTATTGTTAACCCAATGTACCTTCTTGTATATAAATAAATAAAATAAAATAAATAAAATTGTTTTATTCATTCTGATAATCTACAATTTGCAGGCGATGAGTCACAATAACGTGGCTAAAGTATGTTAACCAGACCACACACTAGAAGGTGAAGGGACGACGACGTTTCGGTCCGTCCTGGACCATTCTCAAGTCGATTCTTTCTCAATCGATTTAAGAATGGTCCAGGACGGACCGAAACGTCGTCGCCCCTTCACCTTCTAGTGTGTGGTCTGGTCAACAATCTACAATTTATTGTGCCTACTAATCTTTGTTAAATTACCATTAAAGCTGTCAGTGCAATCAATCTGAGCTACCTATGTGCTTTAATATACCTACTAATCTCTCTCATCTCATTTTTTTTCATGCAATGTACCTGTTATTATTTTATAAATTTTGCTAAAATTTACCTACTTAAAATTATCTGTTAGATAAATAAATATAATAAATAAATAAATAAATAAATGTTTATTCAGGTAAGGTACATACATACAAGAGATTTTTACAAAAATTGCTAGGTTTATAGATAGAGCTGGTACATACAATGCCTAAAGCCACTATTACGCAAAGCGTTTTGGGCAGGAAAAACATTAAAGACTAAAACTTAATACTAATTGAGTTAAAGTATAAAATGTGTTGAGAACAAATAAAAATAAAAATAAGGGGGAAACATGGCTGAAAAAGCAGCACAAATACAATTAGGTCGATAAACAGCGGTGTTTAAAACAAAACAGACATGGGTTGACAATACAGGGGTAAGGTAGGTTACAGGTTATATTGTGATGATAAAGGACCTGCCCAAAATGCTGCACTTACTAGTGGCTTCACAAGAATGTAATCACTATGCTATGTATCCTCACAAACCCAATGTACCTTCTTGTAATAGATAAATAAATAAATAAATAAATTAATTATTCCATGTGCCTGCAATTTCCTTCCAAGTCTTTCACATTGTACCTTATCAAAAGCTCTAACAAAATCCATGTATAGTACATCCATTGGAAGTCCTTTGTCTGAGTAGATGGTTACCATTTCCAAAAATGTGAGGAGTTTTGTAAGGCAAGATCTATTTTTAACAAATCCATGTTGCTTCAGTTTTACAAGATTGTTGACTGTGAGATTGTGAATGATTCCTTATGTTAGGATATTCTCCATGAACTTGCAGATGTGTGATGTCAAGCTGATAAGATGGCAGTTTTCAGCTGAGCTCCTGCCTTTTTTTTAAATAGGGGTGACATTTGCATATTTTGAATCTATTGGTACTAACTCATTTTCCAGAGATTTTCTTAAAAGCAGTTTCAGCAGTAGGCATGGTTCCTCTGATAGTTTCTTCATGACTTTGGATTGAATTCTATCCACATCTGGGGGTTTTGAGTCTTTTAGTTTGTCAGTGCTCTTCATGATTATGTCGCACATTATGAGTATATCCCTTAATTCATTCTCTTCACTTCCTTCAAACATTTGTATTGGCGACAGGACGTCATCTAACCTTTCAAGTGGGAACGCTGATGTAAAGTATTCCTTTAGAGTGTTTGCTGTCCTTTTATTGACCATTATAACTTGGTTTGTCTCATCTTTTAAGGGTCCTACCAAGACATTTATTTTGGATTTACTTCTTATACAGGTTTAGGCATAGAACAACTTTGGATCTTTATATTTTGGGCAAGTTTTCTTTCATAGTTTCTTTTGACTGATCTGATTTCCTGGGTAGCTGAATTTAATGCCCTTCTATATATCTCATAATCTATGTTGCTCATTGTGGATTTATACCTTCTCCAGAGGTTCTACGTAGTTATTAGAGCTGTTGAAAATTAGAACATAAAATGCCTCTAGGAGTTAGTGACCACTGCAATGTCATACTTGAATGATTCATATATATATGGATTCATGACTCCATATAAGTGGAGTGGTACATATGTAACTTTATTGCAATTTTTATTGGGCTAGCCTGCTTGCCATACTAATTCATCACACAATTTTATTTGGATAAACCCAAAATTAATAACAGGTATATCCAGATAAAAGGTGTCTGGAAAGCAAAATCGTTTAACAACTAGGTACCCATATTCTGCTGGGTGAACAGAACCTATAGTTAAGGATTGCCACCCAGTCAATCCTCCCCAACGAGGATATGAACCCAGACCACTTTGCCAAGGGGACACATCTTGGCGCAAGATGTGTATGGTGCTAGGCTCACCTTGGACCATAGTCACAAAATTATAACCTTCACCAGGCCTGCTTTGTGGTTTGTCATGATGCACAAAAATGTGTACATAATATATATATATATATATATATATATATATATATATATATATATATATATATATATATATATATATATATATATATATATATATATATATATATATATATAAAACAGTATAATAACAGCAAAAACACTAAGTTATTGTTCTAAAAATATAATAAACATGTAACTACTGTAATATTTTTTAGCATAGCAATGTTCCACACATTTAATTATATAAATTTCTCAAATTACACATTATTGAATAATAGTACTAAAAAAAATAAAAACCATTCAGAATATTGGAAGAAATATGTAAAAAAATATATTTGTAGGAACTCTTGCACCACGGCTGCCTCTAGGCCAAGCACTACCAGGTGTCTATTCACTCAGTACCTGTGGATTGTGAAATTTCCTTGCTCCATCACGACCAAGCTAAGTTACATACAATTTTGTTTCCTTTTAGTTTCCCGTGATTAGGGAAAGCATTTCAACAATATCAGGAAGAAAAAATTGGGGGGAATAATTTGTTGCATGCACTATAGGGTTATTATTAAATAGATGTGTAGTACTGTACATTTAAAAAAAATATTATTATCAATGAAGTTCAAATTTTGTTTTATGCCTTTCTATGGAATTTAAATAGAGCTGTCTTAGTTTTTCTTTTGAAGGGAGGTTTCTAATGCCTGGGATTAATTTAATCATGCTTCTCTGTACACTCCCATGAGAATTTGTGTTCATTGTGTTTTGGACACCGTATGGTGTCCAAAACTTCACTGAATAATGTTTCACAAGGACACAATAATGACCAAGGATAACAATTTTCAACTGTGCTGTAAAGCATATTATATAGACCTATTCTACAAAAAGACCATGATTGTTGCAATGAATGCATAAATTGTAATTTTAAAACAATAAAATTGGTTTTAATTGAAAAGGAATGAACTGAATATTTAGAACATAATATACCTTCACCTAAGCTTTATAAAGTAATTGATGACCTCATAACAAGATTCAGTATATTGACAAACTAATCATATTAAAATATTTTCATTTGTGCTGCAGTACGTTTCCTATAATCCCTGACCCTCAAAGTTAGTTATCATCATATTACACTGTAGGTCTATATGCAATAATTGAATAACTTTTTTAATTATGTGTATATAAATTGAGTTATTTAACACTGTAAACTAGTGAAACAATGAATATGAAAACCATTCAACTTGAACACAAGTCTTTTCACTACAATTCAGCAATTTGTTTACATCGTGTTGATGTATTCAAAATACTCCACCATCTGGCTTCTTCCTACTGTGTGCACAACCAGAAATGACTTGGATACTTTTTTTCCTTACTTTTGTATGCAAATATATCATTCAATTAGATTTTGTTTTATCTACATAGATGAGGTGTCAATTTTGATGGTAGCTGCTCTTTGAGGGGGTTAACAACTAATTTAATTGTATCTTGCTCCTAATTTTCAATTGTCTGATTTCATCAAAGCAATGTAGTACAGTGATTTAAGGTTAACTGTTGTGGTTTAGAATTTATTTATACAAAAACTCTTTAATACTGACCTTACACGTCACTTTAACAAAACAAAAAAACATTCATTCTTTGGAGTCCTTCTGTTGACTGATGCATTGTGAAGATGGTTTCTGCTAAGTCACATCGATACACCAAATTAATCTTGACAGTAGCTGTGGGTACAAGAGTAAATATAGGCACAAAGAAAGATAACACATACAAGGTGAGAATTAAGACGCACAAGTGATGTCTGACCTCTTTACTTCCATATCAAGTGGACACGCAGGATGTGACCCGTGTCAAAGGGTGGTGGGACTTGGGGGGGATGGGGGGGAGGGATTCCAGGAACCGCCCACGTCCCCAAGGCCCGCCCTGGCAGTGTGAGCGTGTTGTAGCACAATAATAGCCTTTATTCTAGTAGTACGTAATGGTCACTTTACCATGTGGAAATCTCTTGTATTCTGTCGAGATTGTGATAGTCTCTATTTTAATCTATGGTCACATGTTGGTTATTGTGATGTACTAATTGTTGTCTGTGGCAGTTAAAAAACATGCATTTGCAAGTAAATTACAAGTGCAATGACTGTTTAAGACCACATAACAAGGTCTTTAAACTGTTGCTGACCTGGAATTGCATGTACAATCACAGAAAAGGTTGTGACCACTAGATAGTCTACAAAAATTATACATTGTTTGAAACCAAATTCCAAGATGATTATCACTCCAACAACAACTATACAACATTTCTCTCTCTGGGGGCTGCATATCAGCCCCTGAACGCTGCTTACAAAGATGTCAAATGAACTGTCCACCCTAAAGATCGTCTTTGATTAATTATATTCAAAACTATGCATAACTGTCCAATGAAGAGAAAAGGTTACTTCATGTACTCATGCATAAGCACAGACACTAACCAAGGGGAATGACAGAGCCTAAACCACGTACACCGACTTTCTGGCGGAACACAGTGAAATGGGCTAAAATAACAATAAACGCTTCATTCAATAAATTATTGAGAACAACCTCAATGAAGAACAAAGCTTGCGGCAGCCACACCATGGCACCCAAATGTGTGTCGCAGGTGTATTGTGTGCAGCCAGCATCTGTCAGCCTCAAACAATGTTCCCACAAGGCCAGTTCTCCCAGTCACAAACTAAGCTACCACACCAGGCTCACAGACACTGGCTGCACAGCTTTTTTTCTAAAGAGAGAGCAATACAGCGCATTCATCCTAACTAGTCCAAAACAAAGCCGCATTAGTCTCGAGAAGAGTCAGTTTCTGCCTCTGTACAAAGAGCAGCTCATGAGCACCAGTGACGCGAGACGACGACGACGACGACGAATGAGGCCCTATACCATATGGCTATGTCAGACCTGATTCCTAACCAGCTCTTGAGAATTCACTCTAACACAACTGCATCATTCAACTGGTTATTACTGATGGGCTGGCCTAGGTTTCTGTGAGCATTGCAAATTGTCTGGCAAGTGTCGAGTTGAACTCAAGAGTGGTCAAGAATTTGGACCATCATCACAAGAAGGGCAGTACGAAGCGGGACACTCCTACTCCTTCTCCTCCTGCATCATCACCATCATCATCATCATCATCTTTTCATCTCCTCCTCCTTCTCCTCCCAAGAACGCAACACGAGAAGCTAAACTAAACGCAAAGTAGCGTGTGTGTGATATTGTGCGTTTTGACCCGTATTAATGGAGAGACATAGAAACTGTCTTTGCTCGAGCGAGGGGCTTCACTACTTGATCGTCAGAGCTAGAGTACTAAGCTGAACAACCACGTCATTAAACATTAAATAATATAATAGGCATTGCGATATTACTGTGAAATTGGGAACATAGTAAAGACATTTCTAAACCTAAGTCACAACATCTTTTTAAAGGGAGAAACCGGAGCAGTGACGGAAAAGTAGCCAGGAATGAAAGATTCGACACAAACCGGACCATATGAATATCTGCTGTGCGTTGTTAAAATGGCATAATATTACCAACAATAAATATTGACACTATTGGATTTGTGTTTATATATTGATAACCAGACTTTAACCATTCTAAGAAACTCCTGCTAACATTTGTTTTGCCAAGTAACAAAAGCGATTATTGGAGTCCAGAACAACGGGGTTGCTCTTTTTTATTGAAAGCAGACGGCAAACCAAATGCTTGCAAGTTACTTCGACATACAAATATGGAAATGATATCTTAAAATACCGTCCTAACAATTCTAAAGATCCTACAATTTTCCCTAAATTATTCATACTATATTTGATATATTATCTTTGATCAAGACCACTGTGCATTTTTCTTGGCGACGAGATGTATTAACAATAATAGAGTAACACCGCAGCTTCTCCAAACAAATAAAAAAGTCCGAACTGACCATAATCAAGTATTGCCAGTACAGATCACTGCTCAACGGTCTGCTAAAATCCAAGTTTTTTTGAAGATTTTGTAAAAAAAAAAAAAATAAAAAAACAGAAACTCTCTCTTTAGGGTAGCTTCTTCGGCAAATGCTTTGAAGCAAGTAGGGCCAACAAATTTATATTTTTGTGGAGTTGTCAGTGAGTGTATTCTTTATTTGGGATTTTAGTACTTCTTTACTTATGAATTAAGCAGAGAGTAAACCAAATGGAGTTATCCATGAAGGCTCTAATCAAACCTTTCAGCTTTTAATAAACTGAATTACCCAATAAGGCCAAACCTTAGACAAATAGCATTACCAAATGAGACTATACAGCATCCATACCAAATGACATGTCAAGAGTAATACATCTGCTTCATAGAACCCAAGATTTGTCTTTTGAATTTGCTTATTGTAGTCAGATGTGAGCCCTGGTCGGTATCAGTAGAGACCAAATATTATTTATATTGCAATGCCACCATGGCTGCAATTTTGCCTCATTCTGTCACCTACAAAAGTCACAAATTTACTGTTTCACTCAGTAAATGTCCTTATTAAAAAGTTCACAATATTCAGGGACAATGATCCACCTTTTTTAACAGCCCACAAAGGCCCACAACCCCTAATCTCTCCACAGATGCACAAAACTTGCACCAAAAATTATGCACAGGCGTACCGACATTACTTCATCCAAGCGCAGTTCCTCATCTAAGGAAACAAAATTGCTTTCAGTGTACATGATTGGAAGGCACAGCGCTTGCGATGGGCACCAAGACACCCCTGATCTACTACAGACCGAATGCCACATTCCTTGAGTTCTAAAACAAAACAAACTCTCTATCAAGTATTCTGAGCCGTACTTGTCACATCCCAATGTTTCTTATTTTCTTATTCACAACATATGGCAAATGGAGTATTATTGGGGTAGTAAATAAGGCTCAGAATCTCTGATAGAGACACAAATACTCTCTTGATGGTCACAGGTGCAGAGAATACCAACATTATCTTCTGGCCTCTGTCTTTGTTGTCATCATTGAGTGTATTAATAGAAACATTTTCACTCCATTTAAAAACTGTCACCTTTGTTTATTTACTATTAACAGCATTATTATCAAGAACTTTAAAAAAATTCTTAGTGAAAGTCTTCATTACACATTGGTTTTGAGCATATCATTCTGCATTCACCTCACCACATAACATCTTTCCATTGCTGTGTCAGCCTGGCACATGTGTAAAACACTTATTGAAGGTTCATTTACTGAATTAAAATATAGGCTTTTTAAATTTGGCGGTATAAACTCGAGTTCTATAAATATCTTCAGTTAAGTTGTAATCCATGAAAGGATGGATGTATTACTTCCATGTATATTATTTGCATCAAATCTTGTTCATTCTCAGGTGTGGGCATGTAGGTAGGAAGGGTCCGCTGGGCTGGCACACCACCCACAATGGAACACAATCATAGTGAGTCTTGCCCAGACCCAGACACATTGTCAGTACCTCAAGTAGAACTCTCTGACCTGGCTTGGCTGCCACAGTATCAACAAGGATTCTGCTGGGCTGGGTAGTGAACACTTGAGGGTTATCTAATACTTTTCGCCTTAGTGTCCATATAACAAGTGACGTGCGATGGTCAGAAGCTACGCTAAAGCCTGCCTGCAGGGTAGCTCGACGATTGTCTTCTAAATACAAGCGTGATAGGCCCTGCAATGCAAGAGAGAAATATTTTAGCCAGTGTTTTTTATGTAGACATAGTATGGGAATGAGAAAATATGCTAAAAATAATCACAAAGAAGTACAGCTGATAAAATTATCATTTCAAATATGATTTTACAAATTAATGTAAATGTGAAACTCCTGAATGACATTAACATTTTCTTGTATCATAAATAATTTATTAACCTTCATAATGTCATCTGTGCATGCAAAAATTTATCAGCAATAAAATATAATTAAAGTAATCCTTAATTCTTGCACAGTACATCTCTTGAGATATAAACATCAGATAATTTGTTGCAAGTACCAAATTAACTGTATCACGCACATTATATTATATTTTGTTGTGATTCTGTATCTTAAATGGTGAATATACAGGATCAATGAAAAGCTATAAATAAAGCTATAATACTTCTACTAATTCCTAAAATGCACATTTTAATAGCCACGTCATTCCTTACCTTTCACTACTTTGTTTTCACTCATACCAATGTAAATCCACAATCCCAATATTAATTTCTCAGTCATTTGCCCATATATTTATCTTACACTAGCTGTCATTTTATTATCAATGTTATAAGTTTATACTGACTATAAATCCGATTATCTGATTGATGAAAATTAACCCACCCAAAAGTGGCATGGGCATGAGTAGCTCGTAAGCCAGATTATTAATTATGTACAATCAACACCATTATAGTTTTAGTTTTAAATATAATATTTAAAGTTTCTTAACATTTTGTCTTATCCTTAGTCTTCAATGCTGTTATCTTTTTTTTACAACTATAACTATTACCTTATTCTTTTAACTACAGTATAACTATCATGACAGCTGAGTGGACAGTGCTTCGGATTCATAGTCCTGAGGTTCCCGGTTCAATTCCCCGGTGGAGGCGGAAACAAATGGGCAGAGTTTCTTTCACCCTGATGCCTCTGTTCATCTAGCAGTAAATAGATACCTGGGAGTTAGACAGCTGCTACGGGCTGCTTCCTGAGCACGTGTAACAAAAAGGAGGCCTGGTCGAGGACTGGGCCGTTGGGGTCGCAAAGCCCTGAAATCATCTCAAGATAACCCCAAGACCAAGATAACCATTCCACTCATCTAATATCAACCATGCCACCCTCATTTCCCTATTCAGTGTTTCCAAGCCCTATTTGTTTTGAAGAACCTTTGAAATATTTTATAACCCCTTGGGAACCCCTACTTGGCTGACACATATTAGGTTCAATGGGTAAATTAACAAAATAGATGTGGAAAGAAGTAATTGTTAATAAATAATAATTAACTCATACTTTTGAATAAAATATTACAAGTGTATTTATTGTTCATTTCTATTTACTAATTACTGTACTGTTAATAGAAGAAATGATGAACATTTTCACTTTAAATCTGGCTACAAACGTAGTGCATATATTTTGTAATGATTTTGTGTTAATATAATTGTTTTATAAAATTTTTAATACAAAAACAATTAACATTTTGTTTCAAAATACATTCACAATTTAAAATACTGTACAGTATTGCATTCCAATAGAATAACATGAATTCTAAGTGTTTTCCAATTTACTGTGAAACTTGGGTTTGCTTCTTTGAACACAACAATTTAATTAATGGTTGCATCTTTAATAAGCACATACAAAATTCTTCAGCCCAGCACAGTCCAGCCCTGTGGTGAACATTGCGAGTATCGTGTTGAGTGCACCAAACCCAGTGAGCCAGAACACATTCACCAGTGTTTATTGGCAAAAGGAAATTATCCAAGTGTTAAGTGCCACTCCAACCCTCCCCCCCACCCCCCAGAATGTGGTGTCTCCTGCTCCCCCCACCCCCTGTGTGTAGTGTCTCCCACCCCCACAGTGGGGTGCAGTGTCTTCCGCTCCCCCGCCCCCACCTCCAACAATCGGGTGGTCGCGCCTTCCCACCCCCCCCCTCCCAGACCGGGCCAGCGCAGCCTCCCAACCCCCACGAGTCATAGGAGATTACCTGGTCCCCCCCAGCCAGGAGGGAGAGACAAATACTCCAGTGAAAGGTGACAGTCACTTCACCTAAGGGAATGGCAGAAGAGGTCGCTGCCAGCCAGCTCACCCCTCCTGAAGCCAACCAAAGGAGAGGCACATGCAGTGTTTGTGGGAGCAACATCAGCATCAACTCGGACTCCAGAGTCATACGCCAGCATGGTGACTGTCATGGGTCAGGGAGGCCTCCCATGGAAGGAGGCAGCACTCAGGAGCCTGATGCACCAGTGCAAATCACAACAGATTACATTGCAACAGACGACCTGCTAGAGGCAATTAAAGAAATGTGAACCAGGACACTCACCCACATCCCAAAGGCCTCTCGCCCATTTGCTGCCGGGAAATACACAGCCCTCATTGGAAAAGTCAACAGAGGGTCAAATAACCTTGATGAACCAGATACTATCAAAGCCTGGCACAATCTGTTACTTTTGGCAATGCATGCTTAGGTGTACCAGACAGAGGAGGCAAGACACTGGCCTCATCCGTCAATAAAGCAATTAGGGATTTTCTAGGGTTGACAACCTAGTCCGCCTCCCCAAACACACCAAACACCACCGAGGGAGACCAAGTAAGACAATCAGCGACAACAGAAAATTAGGTACCCAAGTCAGCAAGAAAATTGAAGCGGGCAATACAGTCGGGGCACTCAGATTGATCACAAGTGAGGACAGAATTTTGCCCAGGGATGAAACCACAGCCCAAGCACTGAGAGAAAAACACCCCCTCAGGGCCATAGGGGGACCTCCCCCACAGATCAGGGTGACCCCCTAACCAGGAACCTCTCGTCCTCCGGGAGTCAGAGGTTTATAAAGCTATTGTTCCATTTCCCCTGGGCTCCTCAGGAGGCTACACAGGGGTAAGACCTCAACATGTGAAGGAAATGGTGAACCCTGTTCTTGGCCCAGCTGCAGAGGCACTCCTGACAGAAATCACAACGTTTATCAACAACTGCCTCGCTGGGTTAATCCCTGATGAAATCAAACCAATCTTCTTTAGTGCATCCCTATGTGCCCTGAAAAAGAAGGGGGAAGGGATCAGACCTATCGCCGTCAGTAATATCCTTCGCCGGCTAGCTGCAAGGGCTGCTGTCAGAAGTATTCAAATGGAAGCAGCCACCATGCTGCAACCCAACCAGCTGGGGTTTGGAGTCCCCCGAGGCTGTGAAGCAGCGGTCCATGCAGCATGAGCCTACATTAGTTCTCTTACTGAAGACCAGGCAGTAGTAAAATTAGATTTTAAAAACGCTTTCAACTCGGTCAAAAGGGAAGTTGTCCTCACCGCAATCCAGGAACATTGCCCAAGCATTCTCCTGTTTGTGTCAGCAGGTTACAGCAAAGACTCAACCCTCCTGTTTGGCAAACATGAAGTCACCTCAGCAGAGGGAATTCAACAGGGAGACCCACTTGCACCCTTCCTCTTTTGCATAGTGGTTCGAGAAATTACAACCAGACTGTCCAGTGAGCTCAACATCTGGTTCCTGGATGATGGCACTCTGGCAGGCACACAAGACTCCCTGCTGGAAGACCTGCAGCTGGTGAAGACACGGGGGGAGACCATGGGTCTCGTTCTTAACCCCTCCAAGTGCGAAATTATTGCATCTAGTGAAGTAATCATTAGAGCAGTGAAATCAGTTTTACCAGAAGCCTCAGTCATTAAACCCACCGACAGCACACTACTTGGAGCACCTCTGGGCCACAATGCCATTGCTGCAGTCCTTGACAAAAAGTTTAATGACCTAAAGAGGATGGAAGAGAGACTAGGGGACTTGGACTACCATGATACCCTCTACCTTCTCACAAAGTGCCTTACCTTGCCCAGGCTAAAATTCTTTTTAGGTGTGCACCCACTTTTGGCAAACCACTTCTAAATCAATATGATGAGCTCCTCAGGTCAATATTCAGAAAGGCGCTCAACCTAGATTTAGATGACAGTCAGTGGGACCAAGCAACACTACCAGTGAGATTTGGGGGGATAAGCATATGAAAGGCAACTGAGGTAGCACTTCCAGCATTCTTATCCTCGTGTACAGCAGCCAACGAATTTGTAGGGCAGATCTTACCAGAATGTATGAGAGACACAGCGGGAACTAATGATCAAACGTTCATCGAAGCAGCTAGACAATGGGAAAACCATTGCACACCCTCTACCCCGACCACAAGCCCCAAAAGACCACAAGCAGGTCCACTGGGATAGTCCCATAATGGAAAAGACTGTCACAGCAATGATTGACAATGCAGATGCTGAAAACAAAGCCTGCCTCCTAGTGGTAACAGCACCCCATGCCTGGGGATTTTTTATTTGCTGTGCCCAATGCAGCCCTGGGAACTCGCCTCAATCATGACACTCTCCGCACTGGAGTTGCCCTTCGCCTTGCCGCCCCCATCCTTACCGAACATAGGTGCATCTGCAGAACTGAGATGGCAGACCAATATGGTCGTCATGGTCTGGTATGTCGTAAATCACAGGGTAAGATTGCAAGACATGAAGAAGTCAATGACATCATCAAGAGGAGCCTCGCCACAGCCTGCTGCCTGGCACAAAGAGAACCACACTTATTCATATCTAACGACCCTCAGAAGCGTCCAGATGGGGTTACCTTGCTTCCTTGGAAGGATGGTAAGCAAGTGGTGTGGGATTACACGTGCACTGCCACACTGGCCAGTACCTACCTCCACTACAGCACACGTGAAGGGGTGGCACTACTTCTTTCAGGAAATCGCAGAAAATTATTAAATACAGAGGTCTGGCACACTGCTACAGCTTTGTTCTGATCGGCTCAGAGACCCTCGGTTCGTGGGGAAAATGTGCATTGACGTTCCTGAAGGAATTGGGGAACAAATTGATCGGCACTACAAAAGATCAGAGAGCAACAAGTTTCTTGTTCCAGTGCCTCAGTGTTGCGATTCAGAGGGGAAAAGCCTGTTGCATCTTGGGCACTAGTCCAACTTCTGAGGAATTCGAAGAAGTGTTTGACTTGCAACAATGATCGAACCTGTCTGTGACATTTATCAATGTTTCCCATTGTCGTCTTTTTCAAGAGATACATAACCTTTAAGCACTTTTTGTATCAACCCATGTATATCTTGTAACCATTAAATACATAATAAAGCACAAAAAACACAAAAGGAAGGGGGTGGTAGGAGAAAAGCACACAGAAACTGTATTGGAGGGGACCTAAACATTTCCATTAATGCGTTATGTGTGGTTTCCTCCGAGGCTAAGGGTCTTATATATATATATACATACATATATACATACATATATATATATACATACACACATACATACATACAAACATATCAATAATCCACGGACCCTTCCGGAAGCCCTCCGTCTCATTCTTCGCCAGAAAATTAGGAGATGGCTGCAACTGAACAAAACGTTCACCAGGACCAAAAGAGCAGAAAAACCTCTGCACCGGAGGAGAGCATGAAGCTCACCAACACGACCCCCAGAGGTCAATGCCAACAGAAACAGAGCCTTCTGGAAGCATTCTCGAACCTAAAGGGCCACCATAAACTGACAAGAGAGAGAGCACCCTGTCCAAGGGTCATGACAGTTCAGGTGGCGTATGAGATGCCAGAGGTGAAACAAAGAACAAGAAAGCTTTTGGAACACAAGCTGGAGTGGCTCCACCAGCACCACATGATATGAGGAGAGGAAATGGCGAAAAGACTGCAAGACACCTCATACTGTTGCCGAGACGAGGACTGCAGGTAAGACACCATGAAAGAATCCACCTGATCACCACACAAATGGTGATACACCCGCATCAAAAGAACCAGATGCAACAAGCAGAGGAGTAGATCAAACAATACCAACAATACTAGGTTGCATCCCAACAATACTAGGCTGCATTGGCATGGCCATCCATGAGTAGCTAAGTGCTGAGACTAACTGTTATATTTGTGGTGCTATCTTGTATCCTAGTTAGGTGTAGGATTGATATAATGTTTTACATGTCCAAGTGGCAGCTGGCAGTGATGTATAACGTTCTGCTGTGTGAAGAATATTTTTAGTTTTAGTATCATTTTGTGATAACCAATGTACTACCAATGGTGAGGCATTCTCCAACAAGCAGCCAGCCTCTCAGATATATACTGACATCTAAAACCAGCAGGGGTAGGCAACCCTGTCAGGGCAGAGGGCAACACTAGTGAGCACCTAGGGAAGGCTAACCTTAGGTACATTCAGCTCAACCCAGATTGATTTTCATGACATGGGAGGGGAAAAAATGGAACAATATGCAACTATAATGATCCTTGTAGGATAATGTCTGAAAGATTGCCTCCGCTTATCTGAAAATTGGGATTCAAAGAATTGATTTGCAAACTGAGGAACATCATGATTAAGAATGACCTGCAGCTAAGGGGAGCCACCTGGTAGTGATTGAAGTTAGAAAGAGATCAGGTTACCTTTTTGTGTGTTATGGTTTTACCATATTCTATTTTAGATTGGGTTTATTTTTTCCCTTTTTTTTTAGGTTCATAATTATATTTTACACTGCTGTTGCTGTTTTAGCTTGCCTTACTTTTTTGGTACCTATTTCCTCTGCTCCTTGCACCTCTGTGAGGAGTGGTGTCAGTGGTGGAAGGTGTTGTCAGGGGAGACAAGTGGTGTCAGTGGTAGAAGGTATTGTCTGGGGGAGGCAAGTGGTATCAATGGTGGAAGGTGTTGTCAAGGGAGACAAGTGGTGTCAGTGGTGGTAGGCATTGTCAGGGGAGGCAGGTGGTGTCAGTGGAGAGCTCTGGCCCGAGTTATCATCTAAATTGCAACACGTGGCTGGCGCCTCCATGCTCCACCTCGATACAGTAGTTCACTCAATGTCTGCTTTTCACCAAATTATCTGAGAAAATGTTACCATTTCAGTTGCTTGTAACACACAGCTCTATCATATTCCATAATCAAAATGAAGAATTTATAATAAATTGTGGTGTCCGTGGAGAGAGAGAGAGAGAGAGAGAGAGAGAGAGAGAGAGAGAGAGAGAGAGAGAGAGAGAGAGAGAGAGAGAGAGAGAGAGAGAGAGAGAGAGAGAGATGGAGATGGAGATGGAATGTGAGAAGGGGGAGAGAGAGAGAGAGGTGTGAGTGGGAAGGGGGAAGAGAGAGAGAGAAAGAGAGGTGTGAGTGAGAAGGGGGGAGAGAGAGAGAGAGAGAGAGGTGTGAGTGGGAAGGGGGAAGAGAGAGAGAGAGAGGTGTGAGTGGGAAGGGGGAGAGAGAGAGAGAGAGAAAGAGAGGTGTGAGTGAGAAGGGGGGAGAGAGAGAGAGAGGTGTAAGTGGGAAGGGGGAGAGAGAGGGGTAAGTGGGAAGGCACCAGTAGTGGCCAGTAGACAGCCCAGTCAGCCAGGCTCTGTGAAAGCCCTAGTTCCTTGTATTTTATACCATTGTGCCAGACTTTATCAAAAGTTTTTGATACATCTCTGAGCACTATATTACATTCCCAGAAACTCTCAGCTACCTGTCCACTCTTGACCACCCACCCGCTCTTGACTGCCTGCCCACCCACTCTTGGCTGCTAGCCTACCTGCACTTGGTCATGTGCCACCCCTTGGCCACCTGTAATTTCCAGCTCACCCTCCAGTGACCTGCAAACCCCCCCAAAACCCTGTGTGCACAGGCTGTACTGTACAATGTATTTCCTTGCACTTTATTGGATATTTTCCATGGACCATATCATGGTCCATGGGTAAGGCATGCATTTGGGGTGACCCAGTATGCTGGTTTAATCTCACCACCCTACTACAAAGATATTAGCAGAGATTATAGCTAAAAAAGACATCTACTAACACACAATATAAATTTTTCAAAGCAGAAAACAAAACAAATCACTCCACATATGATTTTCAAATCAAAGAGAATTGGAATAGGTGGTTTTGAGGTACTGAATTGTCTAAAAAAATTGAACTCAAATACTGTACAGCATCCATCAAAAAATGCAAAAAGTTATTTAACTGAAATGAAACACTTACTCTATCTAGGCACAACACTTAGGAACTGATACTTTGCTAGAGATGTTGGGAAAATATATGCATATTAGAGTGTTGTAACATAAATATTTAGTATGTCACTAAATACATTGGATTACAAATAAACAGTACCATATCAAACCTAAGGATAGTGTATTCAGCCACTTGCAGATAACGAGACACGAATATATTCTCGGAGACCAATAATCAAATCAAGGGGACCTAATTCCCTACTCCCACTGGCTCAAATGACTATCCCACTTCCCATGTCTACTGTTCTAAGCTGCATACAGTATACTACACATATTTAATCTGTCTTTGTATGCACAATGAACTTACAGTGACGTGACATATCAATGAGAAAATCAATAGAAGACATGAGGAGGATTCGAACCTGTTCACTTGGAACTCCCAAGCTAGCGCCCTAGACCACTACACCTCGAAATGATCAAAAGCAATGTAACCTGGGAGTCAGGTTGCATTTAATAGTCTAGAATGCTAGCTTGGGAGTACCAAGTGAGTGCATTTGAATCCTCCTCATGGGTCATACTGATTTCCTATATATTTTTATTTTATTATTGTTATTTATCTTTATTTTTGGGTACCCACGCAGGCACTGCTAGTACTCCATATCAAGTAGATCCTGTGTAACAAAGCTACTATGACAGAGCCACAGTGATTCTTAAATGATCTACCAGAAGGAATACAGAATTATAAAAACATGTTTGCTGATGATGCTAAGATACTTGGGAAGGTAAGAAATCTAGATGATTTTTTCATTTCCAGGCTTTCAAGAAAACCTGGACAAAATATCAGTATGGAGCACCACTTGGCAAATGGAATTTAATGAGAATAAATGCCATGCTATGGAATGTGGAACAGGAGAAAACAGACCACACACAACCTACAAATCCTGTAAAAAAGGTTTAAAGAATTCTAATATAGAAAGAGATCTAGGGGTAATTCTAAATAGAAAACTGTCACCAGAGGACCACATAAAAAACATAGTGTGCTATTATAGCCTTTGCTATAATTTCTAATTTCAGAATTGATTTTCAATGCATGGATGGCAAAATACTAAAGACCAAAGTTAACGACCTTTGGGAGACCAAAGTTGGAATATGCAGCAGTTGTATGGTGTCCATATCTTAACAAGCACATCAACAAACTGGATAAGGTGCAAAGACATAACTAAATGGCTTCTAGAACTGAAAGACAAGAGTTACAAGGAGAGATTAGAGGCATTAAATATGCCAAAGCTAGAAGATAGAGGAGTAAGGGCAATATTATCACTACACACAAAAAAGTAATGGGAATTGACAAAATTGATAAAGAAGAATTCTTGAGACCTGGAACTTCAAGAACAAGAGGTCACAGATTTAAGCTAACTAAACAAAGCTGCCAAAAATTTTTCAGAAAATTCACTTTTGCAAACAGAGTTGTAGACAGTTGGAACAAGTGGTGGAGGCCAGAACGATCAGTACAGTAGTTTCAAAGTATTATGTGACAAAGAGTGCTGGGAAGATGGAACACTACAAGCATAGCTCTCATCCTGTAACTGCACTTAGGTAATTTCTCATCCTGTAACTACACTTAGGTAATTTCATAATGAGAACAATACAGTACTTAACTAACAATTTCTGGCTGCTTAAATATTTTTTTTTTTTTTGCAGAACCTTAGTAAATAAAAGCCCATTTGACCTAAACAGAAAATGAGTACAGGAAATATGAGATGACTAACCTGGCAGGACACTGGGGAGACAGCCAGCACCTGTCACGCGGCATTGGTGGTCGCAGTGCCTCCTCCCGCCTATGTACACTAGAAACAAGAGCACATGACTTGTTGTTGTGGCGGCACTGCTGCGGACATCCGAGGGTGGCAGGCCACGTTTGTTGCAGTGAGGGAACTCTTGAAAAGTCGCACTCAATCACTCAACACTATTCTAACTTTCCTTACATTCTTCATGTAACACTCATAACCTGTTTATGTCAACAGCTTTACTCTTCAACAAACAACAAACATATTTTGTCGATCACTACATTCCTAAGCCTGGCATTATCACCATCAAACCAAAAAAATAAGTTTGTCCATTGAACACAGTTTGAACAGTCAGACGGGTTCTTTTTCTGCCTCCTTGGCTTCTGTTACTTCCTCCTCCTCCTCTTTTTTCTGACCATAACCTGGGTGTTCACTAATGGAATAATAGTGACCATTATATACTACACCGAGTTCTCTTAGAGTATCACCTCGGATTGTAGCTTTGATTGTCCAGTTAAAACAATCTTCTTCCTCTGCCTCACGATCTAGTTTTTCTACATCAACTATTTTGGAAGATAGTCGATCAAGAATAACCCCAATGTCCTTGATGGAAAGGTGCTTCTTGGTGTCGACGGAAAGTTGATCAGTGAGCAAGAGGAACTTCTCAGTTGTGTGAGCCTCCTCATCATTTGTTGTATTTTCTGTTTCAGATTCAGAACTTTCCTGATCCGTCCGCTGTTTATCCAAGTTGGACGAACGATAATCAGCTAAGAAGCGTACATGAGAACCACCTTTTTGGGACTGTACGACTGCTGCTGCAGCAGCTGCAGCTGCTGCAACAGTAGCCTGAGGCCCTGCTTGAGATGGCTTGCTGCTGGGACTTTGACTGGTAGGATGAGCGTGGTGATGACCTGGGCGTTTTTCTTGAGGACCTTCCTGGATGGGGGATGTAGCTACAGCTTTATGTACCTGAAAATAGGATACTAGTATTAGCAATCTGTAATGGTGATTAGCTATAGTATATAGTTTATAATGACTACAACCTCAAGCTTGTGATGGCTACAGGCACTGGCACAAACCTTTCCATGGCCCAGATCACGGGCAGTGGCCTCATACGTGACACACCAACCATCCACATGCTCAACTACAGACAAGACAGTAAAGTATGGATCACAGGCAAAGGAATCCAAGGGGTTGCCGACATGTTGGGGCTACAAACTGATATCTAAATATGGGCAGAAACAATGAATGAAACGATGAATTTTATAGGATGAAAATGAATAAGGGGTAAGAATCTCTCAGCAGTTTTATACCCACAAATTAGTTTAATTTGACTGGTTTTATAAAACTGGTTTGTTATTATGAGAGTAAGTCTATTGCAGAATATCTAACTGGTTCCAGTTACAGAGGCCTTGATACAAAGCTGCTTCACATGTTTCAGTGCATCTCATAAAAAATAAATATAAGTATATGAATAAGTAGTAAAAAAAAAAAAAAGGGAAACAGTATCAGCTGTAGTTACTGCCCCAGAATGTCGGCTTCTTGGTGGAAAGTCTTGGACAAAAATTACCTAAGTTAGCGAAGCTGAGGTGAATCATGGGCCATTGGGGTCACATCAGGTCGCTTGTTTCGGGTCTCTCGACAACCAACATCAGACGGCAAGTGAGAGGAAGCAACAAGAAAGAGGGCTTTAGCCAGAGCCTGTCGACCACGGGCTTTGTGGTCCTAAATGTTGGAATCACCTTCCAGGAACCAGGCACATGGAAATTTTACACACACGCAGCTATCCCCAATAAACATTTTCAAGTTAACTGCTTTACAGTATGTTGATAAGATATACTACAGAATGAATCTTGTAAAGCTTATGATTATCAGGTATGTGATAAATTAAATTTTCTTGAACCAGTTTCTCATTATTGCTACTTTTAGCACATAGGTTAAGCTATCTTTTCCAATTGAATTAAAAATAAAAAACTTTTAAACTTAGTGTTCTTTGCTTCACTGGCAATCAATAATGCTGAGTTATGTGAGGACATATAACTATTCATTATTCAGGATCTTATTAAATCATGGTTCTTTGTTAAACAGTTAATTCTGTTTGCATGAAAATTTCATTAACCATTCTTAAAATAGGGTAAGGCAGTTATATTTTATATGCTGGAAGTGCAGTTTGGGTGAATTAAATAAATTCTGAACAGAATCACAGAACTGTTGAATTTAATGAACTCCATTACCTGTGTGTTCTTGATAAAAGGTAAATTAAATACCATTCCTGGAAAGTGAACCAAACTATTAACAACTACGTTCAAAAGTATCTAAATAGCATCCAGAAACACCTACAAATGACCTCTACTTCTGGGACATGAGCAGCAACTGAAGACCTTAGCTGGAGATGCATTTAGAATCATTCCCTACTTAACCTCAAAGAAAGAATGAAAATTATCTTGGACCTTTAACTCAATTGCATATGAGGTAAAAAATTATACTGATTTCATGAAGGCTGAATTATTATTGAAATTCATATCTTAACAATATATTACAAAACTGACAAGAGGTTTAATAGTTGATCGCTTATTGCCATTTTTGTTCATAGGATGATGGTTTCTGTGTTATAGCTGAAGCTAACAAATTGTAGTTTCTCAAACTTGGAGATAGTCCCTCAAAGAGCAAAGCAAGTGAGTGTAAGAGAGTGCGAGCTGTGCACACTTATGCAGCCGAGCAGTATATCTATGAGCAGTTCAGCAGTTTAGGCATAACTGCAAAGTCAACCCAGTTTACTATTAAATAAAAAATATTATGTATATACAGGAATGAACAGTTCAAATTTACTACACTGCCAGAAACAAATTAACTTTCTATAGGGATTCATCTACATCACTTAATTTTTGTATGTATAAATATTATGACAAAGCACAACAATTTCAAGCACCAACATTTGTCAGGAAAAAAGTGGTCTTTTCATAACAAAACAAAGTTTGTACATTTCCGTTCCATACAAGAGTCAGTGTGCATCATTTATATGTATATAGTGAAGTGTGATATATTGCCATAACTTAATTAATTATCAATTACTAAAATAAGGAAAGGAAAAGAAAAGAAAAGAAGAAATTGATATACAGTATGTATTATATATATATATATATATATATATATATATATATATATATATATATATATATATATATATATATATATATATATATATATATATATATATATATATATTATATATATATATGTATACAGTAATAGATACTGTTGTTGAGTGCTCCAAAGGGTCTAACGAGCCGAAACATTCAACACTCCCTCTCCCATTTCTCTGTGGGTTTTCCACATACCAATGATCAGTGTTTCGTGATAGTCGGTTGCATATATACTGTATATATATATACTGTATATATATATATATATATATATATATATATATATATATATATATATATATATATATATATATATATATATATATATATATATATATATATATATATATATATATATATATATATATATATATATATATATATATATATATATATATATATATATATATATATATATATACACACACACACACACACACAGTGGAACCATGACTTACGAATTCCCCTACTTATGAATTTTTCGAGTTATGACAACAATTTCGTTGGAAAATTTGACTCGTCTTAAGACCTTTGCCTCGACTTGCAACTTAGTTGATACATGTATGAGTCGACTGAGCGCATGGCAGCTTCAGTTTACCAGTGGCTCTAGCCTGGTGAGGAATGCACTTAAATTCTTTGTGAAGAATTCCATTGTTTTCTCCTTTTTTTTTGTTTTTTGAACATAAAAGTAATTATTATATATCATGCCATGGACCCAAGAACATCAGTGGTAAGGTTCATCCTAAGAAAATAGTTGTGAGTGAGTAGAGGCAGTAGAGGATGTCCCTTCCTCATTAAGAAAATGTGAGAAGTATTGGAAGAACTGCAAAGGTTTGTTGTAAAAAAAAATCACCCAGATAAAGCTGTTGCAGGCCGTTGCATTGACCTTTTGAATGACAGTGTGATGTCTTACTACAGACAAGTGTTAAAATGTAGGGAAAAACTAGTGTCATTAGACAGATTCTTAGTAAGACAAGCAAGCTGTGGGCCACAACCAGGTCCTAGTGGTATGCTTGCAAAACATAGGAGAGAGATAGTACCTCAAAAAAGTCATCATCACTGTTTGATGTTATTATGGAAGGGGGACTTCCCTTCCAAACAGTAACAGCACTCCTTGCACCCCCCCCTCCCCCCCCTTCTTCAGCGTCTTTCATACGCCAACAAGAGTCATCAATAAAGGTAAGCTATAACTTACCTTTATTGATGTATACTATGGTACAAAATATGTGTGTATTATGTATGAAATATATTTTGAAGTTAATATTTTTGGGAGTGTAGAACGGATTAATTCAACTTACATTATTTCTTATGGGAAAATTCCTTTCGAGTTACAATTTTTTTACTTACGCCATGTCTCAGGAAACAGATTAAATTTGAAAAACAAGGTACCACTGTGTACTCACCTAATTGTGCTTGCGGGGGTTGAGCTCTGGCTCTTTGGTCCCGCCTCTCAACCGTCAATCAACAGGCGTACAGGTTCCTGAGCCTATTGGGCTCTATCATATCTACACTTGAAACTGTGTATGGAGTCAGCCTCCACCACATCACTTCCTAATGCATTCCATTTGTCAACCACTCTGACACCCTGTGTGTGTGTGTGTGTGTGTGTGTGTGTGTGTGTGTGTGTGTGTGTGTGTGTGTGTATATATATATATATATATATATATATATATATATATATATATATATATATATATATATATATATATATATTACAAAGGAATCTCGGGTGACGAGCTGCCACATCTACGAGCATTTCAAGTAACGAGCGAGCCACTCGCAGAAAATTTGTCTTGATTGACGAGCTTCCGCTCGGTTAATGAGAAACCCACGTGGCACTTCCTAGCATTCCCGTTGGTTCTTGCAAATTCTTCCTTCCTTTCTTTGATTCTTCCTTCTGTTGGTTCTCGCAAATTCTCGGACACCTCCAACGACAGTGTTGTTGTTTTATCACAAAGGATAAGCATCCCTCTGCTTATCCTTATCAGATGGATGGACAAGGCATTTACAGTCAGTCAGGCATTTACAGTCATTCAGCCATTTACAGTCAATCAGGCTTTCACAGTCAGTAAATAACAGAGTTTAATGTCACGCAGTCTGTTTCCTAATCCACCAGCTGGTACCAAGGAAGCCAGCTTTCCGTTAATACCATCCAGATGTGGATGGGAGGGTACAGCTGGGGATGTAGGGGTCTGGTGTGAGGATTAGAGGTAGCGGGGAGGGTCCGGTGGTGAGATGGGGGTAGCGGGTAGAGTGTGGTGCCGGGAATGAAGGTAGCGGTGGTGGGACGGGGATAGCGGGGAGGGTGCAGTGTGGGGGATGGAGGTTCACCCCACCATCCATCCAGTCCCCCTTTCCCCCCCCTCCTATCCATCCATCTAATTTCCCCCACCATCCCTCCAGTTCCTCCACCATCCATCCAGTCCCCCCACACTCCATACGTAAATTCCCCCCTCCACCATCCATCCATCCAGTCCCCCCACCATCCATCCAGTCCCCTCACTATACATCCAGTCCCTGCATCCATCCATCCAGTTCCCCCCCCCTCCATCTAGTCATCCAGTCCCCTCACCATCCAGTCCCTTCACCATCCATCCAGTCCCCCTCCACCATCCCCCCCTATCAATCCATCCAGTTACCCCCCCTCCATCCATCCATCCAGTCCCTTCACCATCCATTCATCCAGTCCCCTCACCATCCATCCATCCAGTCCCCTCACCATCCATCCATCCAGTCCCCTCACCATCCGGTCCCCTCTCCATCCATCCATCCATCTGAAATTCTCAAGAAGAGAGAGCCCACTTGACTCAGAGGTGGATTCTCCTT